CTAGTGTCTTACAGCATTTAAAAGGAAAAGGATTTAGTGACAATAAAGAATCTAATGGGTTTAATCCGGTATATTGAAATGTGACTTAGCTTCCTAAATTGTGAGATGCCCGGCACTAACTCCAGCCGCTGACAGGATTACATTAAGTCATGATCAAAGAACAAGAAACTTGCCACTCCAGCTGTCTTCAGTGACAGACTTCTCTGAAGATAAATGCTTCCACAAGGCTCCAGGAAAAATTTTAAATGATGCAAGCATTAAGACACTGTCCATAAAACTTCATATTCTCGTAAATCTTTTAAACCTCACCATTCTCTTAAAAGTTGTTTATTTTTTTTTTTAAAGAAAAGTAAATTTGCATCTCTGATAAAGGGGATCACTACTAAAAGTTTGGTATCAATTTCTTTATTCTGTTCTAGAATGAACTAGCAATTGAAAAAACTCCAAATGTTGTCACAACTCTATGGAAAAACGCACTACATCGTACATGTAGTACTTCTAAAAACAGACATACTCTTCATTTAAAAAAAAAAAATCAGAGAACTGTCAAAAATGTATGTTGGTAATAAATTAGAAAAAATCTTATTCAAATGAAAAAAGATGTGAGTGTACAGCTTTGATGGTCATGTAGAAATTTGTATCAGATTGTCAAACCCCATTTGGTTTTGATCACTGCAAGAAACATAAAACTTACTATCAAAGGTTTTATTTTTTAATTGTGAAGATAAATACTTGAAACATTTAATTTCCAGTTGCTTGATCCAAGATCAAACCAGGAGTTTAACTTTTATAAAGCACCAGAACCACCATTCAGCATCCTTTCCAACATCTGTTTAGTCTGGCTTTGTAAGCACCTGCTGTACGGTCACAAAAGTTTGGGACACAGTTGAAGACAGACGATCACAATTACTTCTTTCTTTTGTAATGAAGAGATACAGTTGCATTACTTACGGGGTTGAGAGCCAGACTAAGAACTAGAAATGATTAAGTATTTATCTCCGTTGTGATACTGCCGTGCTGCACGGCCCCGGTTCCTGTCTGGATCCTTATCTGCGTTGCAGACAGCCTCGTGCACAGAGCGCCCAGCCCAGAAAGACACGCAGCCACGTTAACGAACAAGCTCTGAAGGAAGAGCAGCATAATTAATACCGATGGCACACTTTTTCTAACACATTAAGTTTGACCAACAGCCTTCTCCCGATGACTCCAGCCTCCCTTCCCCCCCGGCAGGACGTCACTGCGGGGTGACACACACGAAGCTGAGAGTTACCAAGTGACAAAGCCCAAAGAGGTAACGGAGGCCAGAAATGCCCAGGGACGAGGAGCTCCCATGCCAGCAGGGGAGGCTCAGCCCTGCCCCAGGCAGACAGCGCTCGGGCTGCCACCGCGGCCTCCGCCTTGGGCACAGCCACCAGGACAGAGCCACCCCCTCCGCCACCTCACAGGCAGCCCTGGGCCAGGGCTCCGTCACCCTCAGAGGGAAGAAGTTCTTCCTCATCTTCAGCTGGAGCTTCCTCTGCTCCAGTTTGTGCCCGTTGCCCCTTGTCCTGTCGCTGGGCACCACTGAAAAGAGCTTGGCCCCATCCTCCTGATGCCCTGGCAAAACACATCTGAGAAGCGTTTCGCCAAATACGCGTTTCTCCTCGGGATCTGGCTGGTTAGCTATGCTGCAGCAGGGAAAAAACCAGTGCCAGCAGCACCTTGGCACGGCCACCGTGCATCCCCGCACGGGGAAGCCAGGCTCAGCCCGTTCACCTGCTGAGCCACTCCAACGCGCTTGCTTGCACACGCGCTGCAAGAACAAACTCACACCGTTACGCACTTTGAAGGTACAAACAGGAGCATGAACCTATTGAGTTTGAGGGAGAAAGAAAGAACACTGTCGGCATACGTTCACTGGGAGAAGAAGAAAAAAACCCAACCCCTAACTTTAAATATTAATTCTGCAGGAGACCAGCGCTCTTGTGAAACAATATTGTTCTATGAACCACAAAACGTATAGTAAAGAAGTCTAAATGGTAACTCCTTTGTCAAAGAAACCGATGAGGTGATCCACTTTTAACATCAGTTCATTCAAGGGAGAGAAAAAAAAAAATTGAAGATACCCACAATAATTTGAATGTCAACTATCCTGATAATACACAGTTAAATTAAGTACTAGGGCTCTTAAGTAAGAGGCATAAGAGAAAGGAAGAGCCTCAAAGATGGCAACAATCATTTAAAATATTACTTCAAGTATCTGCACACAAATCCTTATTTTGCGGCCCCTCAGAGGGACGTCTACAGAACGAGTGCCAGCAGGAACAAGCAGGGAGCTCCACACGAGAAGTCGATGCAAGCTCATGGTACAACCTACTGGGCAATGTTTTACAAAAACAAAGATTAACCTCAATCATGAGTACTAATCATAGTATATTTAATACACAAAGGTATATATATTAAGGAGTTAGCGGAGATTGCACAGGTAATTCCCCTTAAAAGCAAACACAAGAAAGCTTCTATTTAATCGTGGAAGGAAAAGTTCTGAGCTGGGATAAAGCAATGCCAAATCCCAATACCTACAGGATCTAAGTTTTCTTTAGAAAGCAGAAGAACGCGGCGCTGGTGCCCGGCTGGAAGCCCCGAGCCCTCCCCGCGGCACTGGCTGGCTCCGGGCAGCGCCCGCACTCAGCACCCGGCACGGGGCCGGGGAGCCAAACGCAGCACTGCCCGCCTTCAGCAGCGTTCTGCCAGCGAGGAAGTCCAACAGCAGGTCTGCCAACAGCTTGCCCACTGGCAGAAATGCCACGGCAAGGTCTTGCCAAGTCAGAGTTTCATTGCAAACCCCTCCTCCTCACCCTGCCGTCCTCCCGCGGGCTGGCACGAAGGGCCACACCGCAACGCCCGTTCCTCCAGACCATGGGGAACCAACGGCCCTGCACGAGCAGATTCGTACACGTCAGAGTTAAACCCAGGCACAGAGCGAACCACACCTCAGAACAGTTCATTATTTTATCAGATTATTATAGAATACGGAAAAATATAGGCACCCAATTTTATTTACTTGTCAAACGAGCAGCTGGGTATCATGTTTTGATTTCTTAGTCATCTGTTGAGTTACAAATTACTTTTCGCTACACCAAGCACTGCGAGTATGACACCTTCCAGTTAGGAGCTTACGGCGTACGAAGCAAGGATTGGTATCTCAGTTCAGACTGCTGAAAACCGAACAGCTTGCAGATTTGCCATCGGAGAGGTGGTTGTTTACTCCTTGCCACTTCACGCTCACTCACCCAGGAAAACACCTAGCAGTGTTAACAGGACTCGTTTTCTATATTCCTAATTAACCGACATAAAAGCAGATTTAGGAATGTGCTGTTGATTTATGAAGTTTACACCACTTCCCCTCAAATGTTGTTAAAAAAACGATATGTGCAGAGACACGCCTGCTCTCCGTGCGGTTGGTAACAAAGAAATAAATCAACATGCAGAAAAATCCTAACAAGGACAGAATTTGTTGACTAATTGCCATCCTGCGAGTGTACCGCACTGACGCTGCGCATCAGTAACTGACAAGCTCTGAAATCGTCTGGAAGCCGTGTAACTTGGTGCTTCTTACACCCAAGGCGCTGAGTCCCTTCCCCGTGCCCCTCCAAGCCAGCCGCACAGGCAGCATCAGCGTCGGCTCTTCCCGGGAGTCTCATCCTCTTCTCACTGAAGCCCCAGAATTTGCCGTGTGTTTACTCATTGTCACAAACACCAAAGACAAAGAGACAGATTTTGTCATACCCAGATTGGAATTTAATTCCTAGTAAAGCCTTACGCATGACTGCCCGGAGCATGAGGATCCACCACCTCATTCCGTCAGTCCCTAACTCAGACGACTCACTAATGATCAAATCCAACAACGCGACAGTCGAAATGAGATGGCAGAGGACATTAAACTTCAAGCAGCACGTTCTCTTCCTGTCACAGCAAGGAGAGATCTTCTGCTTAGAAGAGAAATGCCGAAGTAACCTCTGCTCACAGACATGCTAATGCTGCGGAGAGTCTAAAATTGCCACCTGCGATCAACATGCAAAAAACACAGCAGTTTATTCTGGAACAGAGGAAATCTTTTAAGTTTTTATCTAGCTGCACACATCAGATTTTTTGAAGTGTATCAGCCGCGGGAGGCTCTGTACCTTCTGCGGAGATGAAAAGGAAGATGGGGAAAAAAGGGGGAGATATTGAATTTGTTTTTCTCTCTTCTCTAGGTGAAGACTACTCAAGGTTTGTGTACTTCAACGTTAGCACTGGTTTTTAACCTTTGATTTTCAAAGCAAAACAAAGTATCCAGAAGAACTATTTTCAATGAAATAACTTGTCTAGATCACATGTACATTCTGCTACCAAGCAGGAAGTTTGTATGTGAAAAATAAAAGCATTGTGGCCTTGAAACCACAGCTGTACGTGCCTTCACACAGCACAGATAATGTAGTCTGTGATGTTATTTAAGACCAGCAAACGAGTTGCCGTTACTCTTTTTGATGCTTGAATTACCACTATGCTATTTTTAAGCAAGTAAACATGACCAAGTCAAACGATAGTGTTAATACTGTATTGAACTGCATTCGTGACTGACTCGACTCCAAACCACACTTCGAATTTATTAAGGAAAAAAAAGAAAACCACCCATTCCTACATCTTGCCAAAAGAACTCCAGGTAAAACCAGGTAAAACCAACAAAAACCCAACAAAACCCAAGAATGACCACTTCTCCATCCAGCAAGCACGTTAAGATCTATTTACAGCGCTCAGCTGAAAACACCGCTACACCAAAAAACCTCTTTTCTACCTGGTGTCTGAATCTTCAATTCCACCTATGGTGTTCAAATCCAAAGCCCATCTCACAAACCACAGATCCCAACAAGAAAAAAACCACGTTCTCAAAAATGAGAAGCAGGGACTGTTTCACCTCAAACACAACAGAACGCCAGCCAGCCACACAGACGGCGCGACGCCGAGGCGATGGGACTCACCGACAAGTAACTGCTGGAGTCCACGTTGTCGGTGATGGTCTGCCGCTCGCCCCTCTGGTTGATCTTCCGAAACCTCCGACGGGACTGCCTGAGCGGGACTTCTCTCTGCAAGATGTTTTCCTCATTGTCTTTGGAGTTCTCCACCTGAAACACATGGTCAGGCTCCTGGTTAAACATCCAGTTCTTCCATATCGCCGACAGCCGATGGAGCCGTATGAAGCTCATGAGGAAGGAACAAACATCAGTTCAGAGCAGTTAAATGTTTCTTCAGAAAGCGACTGCGGACGTTTCGGAGAACCACTGCAGCGTGTCTCAGAACTACGTTATTACAATGAGCCGGAGGCCACAGCTTCCTTCCAGGAAACAGGGTTGTTTTTTTTTTTTAAAAAAAAAAAAAAAAGAAAAAAGGACCCCCTTCCCCCCAACAATGTCACTCACCAGCAGCAAGCCTTCTGCACCCACGCGTATCACGCACCACGAGTCAGAGACACTGCTCATTTCGAGTGTATCTTACACATAGAAGTTACCATTTTTTGAGTATTTACCATCTGGTAAAGGCACAGAATTGTATCCCATTTCTACTGGTGTAATTTTAAAAACATATCTCAATTCTACTACCAGTCACAGCTAAGCAACTTTAAATATTCCAGCTTTTTGTCAATAGCTAATTCATCTATGTCACGCTGACTTCTAATCGCTGCCAGCAGATTATGGAGAAATAACTAGAACTTGATTCATATCTTGGTGCTAAATAATGTTTGTGACTAAAAATTAAAAATTAGGCAAATTTATCTCGCAAGTAAAAGCCAACATGAAGCCTTTTTATCTCACTGATTACAATTCCTTTTTTCTATAAAAAGCAGTCCCATCCTTTCCCATTTCCTTCTGATGTTTTGGAAAAACATCTCCCAGCAGGAAGCAGAACAGCCCCGCAAGCAAACGGGCTGTGGCCAGGCCAGAAGCTCCTCCACAACACGTTTCTTACCCAGGAGTTTCTACCGTCCTCAGCAACTCCTCCCCGGCCCCGCCAAATTTAACTTGAAAATCCTCAACATAAGACTTTAATACTGGAAGAGGAGAAGAACCTCTCTGTGGTCTTACGCAGCCCCTGCTTCACATACTCCTGTAAGTTACCTCAAAATTAAAATTCAAAAGGTATAAAGGAGTGGTAACCAGAAAGATTTAACAGACAGGAACAAGAAAGTAACCAAAATATCTAAGCCATCACAAAAGCAAGATCACATCTACTCTCCATATCGCTGTTTCCAAAGAGCTAAGTCTGAGGTCAGAGGAAGGTGCAAGCAGCTAGGGTGGGTTATTTTTAATTCCAGAGAGAAAAAAAAATAAATAAATACATTAGCAACATAGGTACAACAGTCAAAAAAGAAGAGTGCACCTCACACCACAGTGTTGTCAAAAAAGAAGCAGAAGAGCAGAGCTCCCCTAGCAAGGGACAACCACACTTTTCACCAGAGTTTTACTATCTGTTTGCAAAGGCACAGGAGAAGAGCAAGGATACCCAGTAGCAGTGTTGCTGTGAGCACCAGGGTAAAGAATGTAAAAAGAAAAAAAATACAAGCCATGCAGGCAAACAAAAAAAACCCACAAAAAATCCTTGTAAACAGGCTACTTAGTATCATCAAAAGAGTAGTAAGACATCCAATATAGAAGTCTTTCTTCACCTAACACAAAATAAGGATTGCTAGTTAGTAAGGACGTTGCTCTCAAACTACACAGAAGGCTTCCAGAAGTAAGGCAGTTTAGTTTCATACCAAGCTACTCAAATAACTGAAATTCTGTTGATTTCATTTTTAATTTTTGTGCTACCACACATGAGCTCCTTTAATAAATGCATTATTTCCTTTTTTCTCTGTGTTCAATCTTAAAGCATCATAGAAATCGAAACAAGCGCTGAGCTCCTCCAGCATAACCGACCACCCTGGATGCGGAGAGCTCGCTGCAGTGGCTGGACAACGGCTCTTCCAACACCGAGGACCCTTATTGTTAAGAAGTCCCAAAATGAATAGGTATTTTTAAGACTAAAGTAAAACAAACACGTGGTAAAAGATGAAGTTTTGGGGTTTTTTTCCCCACAACTCTAACTGCAAACTAAAAAGTGAACATAAATATGCTATTTGGTAGTGCAAAGGCAAAGCAACCAACTGCAGGTGGAAACTCCGACACAGAGCCCCTGCTTCCTTTGGTTAACGCCGCTGCTGCTGGCAAAACAAAACCAAAGCCAGAAACCCAGGAAAGACCCCCACCACCACCACCACACAGCTTCCAGCTCAGTACCACCAGCACCACCAGTACTTTGAGTCCAGGTGATCATCTGATGGTTCGTGGTTAGGTTTACAGAAGGTAGACGGCTGCTTTTGATGCGCTGCACGGGGACGGGACACCGGCCGGCCAGCGCTGCCCCGCCCCGCTCAGCACCCAGCCGTGCTTTCACCCGGTTAAAACCAAACGCCTCGGTCAGCAACGAGCGTATTCCACCTCTTCACCACCCCCCGAGCAGGACGAACGCTCCTGCTCCTCCGGAGGAGCTCGGCATCCCTGCGGACGCCGCGAGCCGGGCCGCGGCGTGGGAGATGGCAGGATCGCCCTCCGTCTCGCCCCGCCGTCTGCGCCAGCAACGAGGAATTCTCCACCTCCAAACACCACGCTGCCGCTCTGAGATCTCACGCTTAGCTCTGAAGAAGAAAATGAAAGCACCAAGGAACACCAGCAAGGGGGCCTTCAGTACACTGAGATATGGTGCAATTCTGGGCCATTTTCTTAAGTGATAAATGGACCTATTATTAATTCAATAGATTGTTCAAGCCTCCGAAAATATGAGCTACAGCGCCCATTCACACACTATCTGTTATCCTCATTAACTTAAGCTGACCACATTTTATGGCCTTTAAAATGGGTCAGTTCCCAGAGGATTCCTGCTACAAAACTGATTTACATTCTAGAAAGAAAGAGGAAGAGGGGAAAAAAAATTAAAAAAAAATCAGTCAGTAGCTGAGAACGTTGGTGTTCTTTAACTGAAGTAGCTAATTCTTTTGCTTGAAAATAAATATTCATTATGTATTAAACCTCATTACTATGTTGCAAATTAAAAGAGAGAAAACAGGAGAATTAGGATAAATTAATAAGAATTAATCAGAAAAATGGAACTCAAGTACAGCTCGTGTCAGCACAGATCATTAGCCAGGTGCATTCCACCACACTGCTGCTTTTTTCTCCCCCTATCTGAAGTCCTGCCTAGAAAACCCAACAGTTAATAGTGCCTTTAGTTACATTTACCTGTAAAACATGGACACAAAATGAAGTAACAACTCTGCTCTTTTAGTTCTCTGATTTTCCTACAGAGTAATGTAACAAAGTTCCAGAAAAGGACTTCAGGTACTCTCAGGTATCCCTATATTCTCTATACTCTCCGTGGGATTTAACTACAACTACAGAAAGCTCAGGAGGTTTGGAAAACAGAGGGCAGCTCTCCAGGGCGTGCATGTGTCTGCAGAACAACCAGCAGCAGCTGACACGGCCAACGCTTCTCCAAAGACTCCAACACCGTGCTCCTCTGCGAAAAACTCATCACAGTTGTAGCTACTCCAGCTATACACACACAAAACCCTCTAGTTTCTTCACAAAATATTTTAATAAGGTCATTTTGTCTCTGGTGGCACACACTACACAGAAGCTACTCTTTTGTTTGCATCTTTTGTTTTGTTTGTTTTCATTTTTGGGGTTTTGGTTTGGTTTTTTTTAAAACAGTGGTGCTGAGGCCAAGCAAGGATGTTGGTATCGCCTACGAATTTTACATGATCACATCCTTTGCCTGCGGAACGCCTTTCCTGCAACCTCGCAGCTGACCGTGCCCCAGACTGCGCCCGCTGCATCGCCGTCTGTTGGCTCTTGCAGGAAGCAGCACACCAGGTCTGGCAACATCCACGGCACCAGTTACAGCAGCCAAGAGCTGTGTAACTGGTTTGTTAGAGCAACTGGTCCAGAGAGACCAAATTCTTCTCTCTGTTACATCAACTTGAGGGACTGCAGAGATGCAAAAGGTCTACAGATGCTGGGAGAAGCGAGCGTTTGTCGTTCTGTGCTACCTGATGCCAGGAGCACCGAGGTGCAAGGCTCAGCTCCGCGCAGGCAGCGGACGCAGCCGCACTCGGCACACCAAACCCCCGGCAGCAGCAGTCACCAGGCAAAACTGCGAAGCAGCAGGGGCAAACCAGAGCGCCTGGGGCATTCGCATGACACGGCTGCAGGTACGATCACCCAAGCAGTCCCGTGGCATCCCTCAAGGCACAAATCTCTCCCCCAAAACTCCAGCTTTGAGAAGAGAGGGGATAATCTGGAATACACAAATGAACTATTTCACTCCAGAGGATCAAGACAGGCTTCTTGCACTCTTACCTGCGCTTACTTCACGACATGGCAGACTGGCTTAGAACATCTACTGCAGCAAAGAGCGCGTTACTGAAGCTATCAAAGCCCGTGAGCAGAATCAGACCGACACCGCACAGAAAGAACGGCGCAAAGGCCAGCAAGTGTACTCGCTACAGGACATCTCCGATGTCCATGGCTGTTAACGTGCTGTGAGAACCAAGCTCCTTATAGAAGCTGAACATTCGTAGTCAATGAGTAAATGACATCATCAAATATTAGTTTTAACGTTACCATATTGAGAAAAAAGGAAGCTAAGCCAAGCGCAGGTCGGAGAGCGAAGCCTGCGTAACACACACACGGCTTCCCAGAACAACAAACATTTTCGTTGCAGCTCCATCAGCAGCATCTCATACGACCAAAGTGGAAAGAGATCTTCCCGAGTCTCCAGCCACACTACTAGGGTACAACGCTGCTCTGCGCTACGGAGAAGCAATCCGAATATTCCAGCTGCTGACCGTGTGCGTGCACCAGCCTGGGAAGGACTGAGCTACAACCTGTAAGTACACACGAACTCGGCAATATCAGCGAGTATTCTACAGAAGCAGAAGGAAAGCTGGACATGGCAAACACTGATGACAGCTAAGCTGAAAACCTTATAACCTTCTCCTTCAAGCTTGGCTAAACACTTCTATGTTCCTTCTCTTACCTAAAAGCCTTCACAGCGTGTGGAACTGCAAAGGCGAGGAGTAAGAGGGCCTCCACGACCAGACCCAGCGCGGCTGGCATGGCCGGTAAAAAGCAATGAAATGGGGGGTGGGGATGCAAATAAAATATTGAAGATAGCAGTCTACCGTTGCCTGACTTGGGAATGCTCAACTCAGCCCTAGCTGGTAGGCTTTTGAAACTCAAGTAAGCATAATTTCAGAAAGAATGACCTAATCATCATCATCATTTACCCATCTAGATTAAATTTACATAGCTATTGCTGTTACGATAGCAGCCATAGGTATAATTGAAATCAAGGCAATTTTGCTGCAATTTTATAGAATACTTTACAATAAGCTTTCTGCTATAAAACAGAACGAATTTGCTGAAGCCAGCAATAGATTTAAATACATTTGAAAAAAATCTGTCTTACCACAATCATTTCTGAAGGCTCCAATATGATACATTCGCATCCTCGTTTCCCTCCAGACTGCTTGCCAAAACTAGAGTGGGATGGGAGAAAAACCAAATGAAAAAGAATGAGATAAACAGCCTATTTTACCTTTTCAGTAATAGAAATAATTGGCAATAGTGTGTGTTACAATATCCTTAAAAACAAAAAAGGACAAATAAAAATTGATGAAAACTATTGTGTGAAAAAATCGAACCAGATAACACCATTATCATAATTTTTTTAATTTACTCAGCACCCCTCATCACAGCCTACTACGTATGCCAAAATATAAAGAAATGTTCTTTTGTAAAATCATTATTACTTGCAGATACTTAAAATCACTCACAATGCATTTCAGTGTTGACAAGAAAACATCAGTAAATGTTAGTTAAGCATTCAACAGGCTTTGTAAAAACAAACATACATAAACTCCAAAATCTCCAAAGTACTTCTCTGCACCCAGCATTTTTAACGAGAGTTCCCTCAACTCCACGTCACCCCTTCATCCTCCCAGCAAAGGGGGGGGACAGAGAACCTCTTCTCTAAAACTGAGCCTTAGTTTGTGACCTCTGTCTTTACGTTGCTTCTTGTGCCGTCACAAGGAGCGCATCAACATGATGGGTTCTGCTTCAGAAATGTGAAAAAACACAAATGCAACAGAAGGCGATGGGCAGTGTAACGCAGCGAGTAAGGAAAGAGGCTAAAAGCAACCTGACCTGCTTCCGCTGCCCGACCCTGACAGGCCACTGCCTCCAGGACTTCTGAGAAGAGAGGGGCCTTCAGAGGCACCAACCCTGCAGAAGACACCTTGCCAGCAGACCTGCGGTGCTGGAACGCCAGCAAAAGAGCCGAGCTAGATGCTGCTAGGGTGTGGGGGGTGTTACAGACCAAGAACCTCTTAAACCTCTTCACTGGTGACTGAAGTAGCACCCGAAGTTTAAAATATCTGCCTTCACATATTAAGTCTGTCTGTCTTCACTACAGGCCTGTTAGCTTGAGCGAGGTATGCTCGACCCGCCCCACTCAACTGAGCTCAAGTGAAAGCGATCCCAATACAACAGCAAATTAGAAAAAACTTGATTAACAGCATCACCACTGCAATAGCAGTTCAGCAGCAGCAGCCACTGTGTTACAAACCCAGGCTGCCAGCAGCAGTCACGTTTTAACACGTACCAGCAGGTGAAATCACTGAAGCATCAGTTAACTCCAAGCCGAGATTAATGTGTGAATTAAAAGGAGGACAAGGAGACAAATCCTACAAAGTGGGCCAGCTCCATCTGTTTTCACCGAGGTTATGTTTGGAAAGTACATCCCAAACTTCAGCCACACGCAGCATTCGAGGCACGCGCGCTCGTCGCGACAGCAGACACCCACGGACACGCGACCGCTTCGCAGACAGCCTTGACAAGACTCGTGCCTATGGACCACGTGTCAGGGGAGCACACAAACTCCTGGAGGCTGCCTGCATTTTCAGGAAAGGAACTTCAGCAGCTGAACCATGAAGTGACTCAGGTGAAGATTCAGACTATTTCAACACGGAAACGATCAGTTAGGAGAAAGTCTTACAATTAACAGGAGCACAGCAGTTTAGGCTGTTCACATTCTGATTTTGCCAATGGTCTACTGTAAAAAAAACCCAGTTTAAATTACATGGCTGCTATGGAGTCATAAACGACAACTGAAATTTTCTCAGCCTGTGCTCCAGCAGGCCAGAGAAGTACAAGTTTCACGCGGAAAACTGGCATTTTCACACCTCTATAGTAAGTAACTCATAGCTAAAATTTTTGTGCTTTCTTTCATGCTTTCTCCACGCAGCATGTGATCCAGGCATGACAGTCCTGGGCATTTGCAATACACCAAAAAGAACGGCCAAACTACTCCACTACAAACTAAAGTTCATTTAGTTCAGAAAATGCAGAAATGCCGTTTTTCACGTAAGCTCTAACTTTAAGGCAAAGTGAAATTCCATGTTACAATTTGTCCACAAACCAAAAACCAAAAGTGAAACCAACGTTGCTAAGGTACTGTTTGCAACTGCAAAAAAAAAGTTAAATAGTTCTAATTCTGTTCAATACAATAGAAAACTAGAGACAACAGATTTTTTTTTCCCCAAACAAAATTCTAAAGGAATTACATGCAAGCGGAAGATTCAGTATTTGGCAGCTTTTTAAAGCAGAAATAGTCATTATCGGGTTTATCACAAACCAGATTACTGCTGTTGCCATATCCCCAGTCATCAGGAGAAAGCTGCAATTTACTGCTGCAGGTTGTTGGAGCACGGTATTTTTATTGTATAACAACAATTTATCAAACTACTGGAGGCCGAGGGAGGGTTGTTTTCTTTTTGTTTTGTTTTACATAAACACATCCATGAAATTCAGCTACTGTCAAGCTCCCCTCTGCTTATGTTGCAACATTTGCTAATTAAGTAATGGCAGTAAATAATAACCCAAGGGAAAAGAACACCCCTTGTAGCAAAGGTCAAGCTCTCGGCACTACCATTTCTGGTCCATCAAGCACTTTACAACAACCAAACACTCAGGAAAGGATTATGTTCCAAAGACAAAACCCACCCTTCTAATCCTGAAGAATAAACTACTCATATTTGCAAGTCAACGGGTCAAGTTTAATTGTTTCCTGGAGCGCATCACGGGATGGCTGATCGATCGCACCACAACAGAGCTCCGGCAAAAAGAGGAGGCATCATATGATCTTTCCCCAGCCACAACCACTGCGTTTAAAAAATACTAATTTTTAACATTCTTCTTAATCAACAGGCCCAATGTGTTTTAGAAATGTGTATTTTAACTGTCTTAATGACTTCTTCCATATCTTTCTCTAGACTGCAAATGTGTAGCTTCTCTGTCCTTTTAGAGGTTTGCTGACATCAGCCTATTCCACTAACCTGCCAAGTTTAGTCAAGGCTTCACAACAACGTTCCTTCCTAATTGTCTTGTAAAACTACACAATGAAATGTTTAGAACAAACAGAAACTCAGCCCTGAAACCATCCACCAGGGAAGACTCTTCCTTCAGCAGTCACATCCACTAGCACTACTAACAGGCGACAAGAAGATATCATTATCAAACACATAAGCAAAGATGTACACATTTATCTAAGTGACAGAAAGTGATAATGGACAACATTTGTCACTTTTTTTTTTAAAAAAAAAAAACTAAAGACCATTAATCAACATTAAAGTTCAAATATTTGTTTTATTGGCTTACTGTCACAGAATCAGAGTCTGAACTAGTTCAGGCAAATACACTAGGAAAAATTAAAAAGAACCAGCAGCAGAGTCTGTGAGCATCTGAAAAGAGAGAGAGGAGGCACGGGGAGGAGCAAGCAGCAGCGTAACAGTCCCAGAGTCATCTAAATCTGCTTTGAAGTGATGGTTGAAGTCTTTGTAGGAATCTTAGGTAACCAGCAGTTACTCACTGTTTGGTTTTTTTTTTAAGAAATAATTTCAAGCATTAAATTAATTAATAATGAGCATTGCGACAGTAGAAGAACAGCATAATTAGGTCATGTCTAGTATTAAACCTGACACCTAGTTAATAAATATTCACATTAGAAAAATTAACAGTTCAGTACTTACAAAGGTATGAAAACGCTTAAGAGGTTGATTTCAGCATCAAAACCTAAGAGGATGTTTGGAAATGGAAAAGATGAACTTGAACAAAGCTTTGGAAATGGAGGTGACAAAATCCTGTTTGGAAAGACAAGAGCAGGCTTTGGCACAGAACACTTCCAGCGGAGAAGGCAGATTTCTGTGACAACAAACTGTTCAGGTAAGTCCTCACCGTCGGCCGCTGAACACCCCCACAAACCTAAAACACGCTCCCTCCCACGGCAGGGAGCTCAGAAAAGCTGTACCTCTAATTCCCGAAGAGACAGGGCCGCCTTTTCTCCCGGGACTAAGCCACCCTTCGCGGCGGTGCCAAGAGCAGGCGGTGTCCTTCCTCAGCCTCACTGCCCACCCCACAAGACCGTGACGGTGGAAGCCGCTCCAAGGGGCCGGGATTGCTCCCTGGGGCCATCCCACACGCCCGCTTCAGCCGGCCAGCAGCACCCCTGCTCACAAACATCACAGCAGCTTCTCCAACCGTAACGCAGCCCCGAAGGGTCAGTCCTCTTCGTGTCGCGTGCGGCAAGACACGGCAGCGAAGCAGGAAAGGCTGATGAAGGTACAGCACGTTACCTGTGCTTTAGAGCTGTCAAGCACCGAGTGGGAAAAATAATCCAATTAAGAATTTAAACTAGTGCAAATCCTGAAAGGGTGAGAAAACAGGAAACTAATGTAAATTACGCTCTACTTACAATACAGTAAAAACTGTGTCAAAGGACATACTAGCAAAACCATAACCACTGAAGTTTTAAATGATTCAACAACTAAAACTTTTATAGAATCACAGAACGGTGTGGGCTGGAAGGGACCGTTCAAGGCCATTTAGTCCAACCCCCCCTGCCATGAGCAGGGGCATCTTCAACTCAGTCGGGATGCTCCCCGCCCCCTCCCACCCGGCCTTTGAACCCTGCCAGGGAGGGGGCAGCCACACCCTCTCTGGGCAACCTGGGTCAGGGCCTCACCACCCTCCGTGCAAAAAACTTCTTCCATACATCCAGTCTGAAGCTACCCTCTTTCAGCTTGAATCCATCACCCCTTGTCCCATCACCCCATTCCTCTGTCACAGCCCCTCTCCAGCTCTCTTGGAGGCCCCCATGAACTTTTGGAAGACCTCTCTAAGGTCTCCCCAGAGCCTTCTCCTCCCCAGGCTGACCAGCCCCAGCTCTCCCAGCCTCCCCTCGCCCTGTGCCCACGCTGCTGGGGATGCAGCCCAGGCTGCCAGCACACACTGCCGGGTCATGGCCAGCATCGCATCCACCCGTACTTCCAAGTCCTTCTCAGCACGGCTGCTCTCAAGCCTTTCTCACCCACCAGCCTGTACTGGTAACTTTCTTGATCTGCATGTTTAATCATACATATTTTAACAGGGTCTTAAATTTAACATCATTATTCTATAGCTTCCCACCGTTGGAAGCCCAGAA